AAATATTTAAAAATAATTAAAAATGATTGTAATTAATAAATAAAATTGCCTATAAATTTGTAGGTAAAACAGTTAAAAGGATATTATATTTGACTATTATTACATATTGGATAAAATTTTTAGTTTAGTTAATTAAGTAAAAAAAGTAATTTTACAAACTACAAAATTTGTGCAATTATTTTTAAGCAAATTTGCTTGTGAATTTTTTAATTTTAATTTTTTATTTTAAATTATTATTATTTTACTATTTTGGATTGATTAAATAATTTATTTATTTTGTTAATGTCAATTATTTTATGCTTTTTAGCTATAAGACAGACAAATTTGCTTGCAAAAATGTTTAATATTTTAAGTCAATAAACTAACTTTCTCACACAATTCTTTCATTATATATATATATATAGCACATAATCATATTAAACTATCCTTCGCTATTTCAAGTACCTTTACCATTCTAGATATAATCTAAAAATGAGGAATTTTCACTACCTGCTAGCTCACTGAAAAATTAATTATTTGACCTTAGTTTTAACTTCTGATTTTTACATTTGCAGAAATATGACGTATATAATTTTAAATTGTTTTATTTTAGGTGATACTTGCGGGTTTTCAGTTATTCTTAGAGAAAAAATTATCATTAAGAATGATATCATTCCTTTTAAAAATTTTAATGTTGCATTTCTTATGGACTATACCTGAAAAAAGAAAAAGAATATTATTAGTAGCTGTAACATAGATCTTTGGAAAGTTGAAATTAAAGAAACTGATGAAAATATAGAAAGACTTAAAAATACTAAAATCAACATTAGAAAAGAATTCAAAGGTGAAAGGTTGTCTACAACTAAATTGGCTAAGAATATTTTCTCAGTTAAACTACTAGAAGAGCGCATTCACATTATCGTAAAATTACTAAAGTTCGCTATCACTGATAAATGTCTTCTAATAGTTTATCTTTCGAAAAAGAAATACGCGTTATTTTACATTCATTTTATTTGATTATGGAAAAGGAATATGGTAGAGAATGAAGATGAGGAAGAAGAAAAATTATATTTACAGAAATAAGGAATTTTTCTTTTAATGTTGACCTTAATTAAAAAATATAAAATCTAACTTAACTTACATTTTTTCCAGATAAAGAAAGCTTTAAAATTTAGTAAATAATTTACCAAAGATCAACATATGAGAGAAAATGAAGATACGGATATTTATAACTGCGAGTATTATAAAATTTTTATACTCAAAGATATAGATTTAAGCGATACCTCATTATTGGCAATCCAGGTATTAGAAAACATTCTTTAGAAGGTTAATGCTAATAGAACTCCTTAAAAAGGATAAAACTGTTTTGTTAGATTGTGAAACTTTTATGATACAGATTAAACCATCAGGTGAAATAACTTATGTAAATGGCAAAGAACTATTCAGACAAATAGCAGAACAACCAAATATTTAGTGTATAATTGATGGAAAGAGAGACCAAGTGGGTCATGATTTTCTAATGAAAAGGTTAATTATGGTAAGTTTACCAAAGAAAAGCAATAATTGGAGATTTTGCAAAGCAGTGGTGCAGAGAACTATTCATGCCAACGTGGAATGAATATGAGCTTAAAGACTGTTGGAACTATCTATATAAAGAAAAATTGACTCTAAAATTCTTAAGAGATAAATTCGAGATATGCGGTGGGATTGCAAGGTGGATCTTTACAATGTCATTGGAAGTTGAAATGGATATTGAAAAAGCAATTAAAACAGTTAAATCAGAAATACTTTATCACCAAGGCCAAATCCTCGCAGGTGATGAATATACTCATAAATTAATCTATATACATATCAATATTGAAAAGATGGGTAAATTTTCGCTGTACACAATGTCAACCTGCTTCTTTGCATCAAAATATGTAGCAAATAGGTGCTTAGAATAATTACAACTGAATCATAAAAAGTATCTATTTGATTTTATCAATAATGCAAAGGATATAACACAATTGGGAGGTTTTCGTGAAATATTGTTTGAAATGGTTACACATATGATAATTCGTTAAGGAGGAGACTTTCGAGTACTTGAACTCACAGATGATGGTATAGGATCTGAAGCTATTCATAGTTTTGATTTTAGAAGAAAAAATTTTTGATAATATTAAGGAGATACAAGAACGAGTAAAATATTTTCGGTCAACTTCGAAGACTTTCGAAAGGATAGATAGTTATGCTCATCCAAATAATCTATTTCAAGTTACTGTTTCTAGGAAGCATAGTATAAAGCAAGATGGATTGAGAGCGATAAAGGATATCTTAGATGAAAATTATTGCGTCAAAATATACTTTGTCTTACTGAGAGAAATATTTAAAACATTTAAAAGAAAACAATCTTATGAAAATAAGGGGAAGGAAAGGTATTCGACCCTTGGGTTTTTAATATAACACAGTACGCATTGTGTAAATATTGAATATTAACATTGGGGTAATTGTCATAATAAAAATTAATAGTACAGATTTTTAATGTATTAAAGATGAAATTTTTAAAGCATAAAAAAAAAAGTTAATTTTTTTAAAAATCACGAGACAAAATATTTATTCTCTCCTAAAAAATAGTTCAAGAAGCTCCTCTAAAACTTATTTATACAGATAATGATTTCTCCATCCTTAATGTTTAACCAAAGTTCAACTGTTACAAAAAGATATTATACCTCCGATTACCTTGACATGATAAGCAAACTTTTCCATGTCGCCCCCAAGATTTTCCCGTGTTGGATTTCTAGTTTCTTGGTGATTACTTTCTTAAATAATTTATAAATTATAAAGTTCAAATTAGAGTTTCGTTCTTATTGCAGATTTGGAAATTCAGATTAGGTATTTTGATTTTTGATTTTTTTTTTTCTTTTATTTTATTAAATTCATTTAATAGTTTTTACTTTTTTAGATGGCTACTTTTAATTTCTTTAGGTATTTTGAACTTTTTTTTTTTTTTAACTCTATTAAACTAAAATACTAATTATTAATATTTATTGGTTTTCCTTCATTTTACGCGGATTTTTTGCTATTTTCCTGGTTTAATTGTATAATTGTAAATTATTTATTTATATTGTACTTTTCTAAATTCGAAAATAAGTATTAATTAGAAAATAAATAAAATAATGCGTGCGTTAAGTCTATTATAGACAGATTTAGATTTAATTATTAAAATACATTTTTTATTAGACCTTTTTTGTAGAATATCTGTTAAAAAGAATGATAGAAAATGTATCAGTTTAATATGACGATCTGAAATTAATTTTCCCTTTTATGAACGAATCCATGCTGTTACCAATATAAAAAATCCGGTTAGACCGAAGGAACCAGTTATATTGAATCTCGAAAGAACCGGAATTAATAAGTCCGGATTGAATCCGAAGGAACCGTATATAATAATTCGAATTGAATCAGGTTCCGATTTTTTGACAATTAAATAATCCGAATATAAAAAAATAAATCCGATTCCAACTCTTTAGATTACACAGTTTATTAGAATTATGCGGAATATTTTATGTACATATTTTTTATATTTTTAAAATATCTTTTTTTTTTTTTTTTTTTTTTTTTTTACAATATAATAGTACTTATAGAATTTGAATTGAAAATAACTTCTTTAGAAAGCTTTGAAGAAATTGCGGATCTGGAAAAAAAAAAAAAAAAAAGAGAGAATGTTCAATAGTATAACCAAGTATTTATAAGCACGTTATTAATATAATAATTATACCAATTAATTTAGCCATTTAAAATTAATATCGATATGATTAAATTACCGATCATTTGACAAAAACTTTTAGTTAACCGGTTATTAATAACGAGGGATATTCTCCAATATTAGTATGGTTGAATAATCAAGCCATTATCGTTGAAAGATTTGAAATATTAGAGTTGTTGCTTATAATTTATATCAGCCTTTTGCAGTTGAAAATTTTTAATCACGAAATGAATAATACCTTTGAAGGAATTATTCTCGCCAGCTTTATAACAGAGATTGAAATCGGTCTATAATCGACTAGTTAGTTGACTAATTCTAATTAATCAAAAACTTAGTATTAGTCGACTATAAAAATTTTGGCCGATTCCAACCTCTCGTCATACCCGACACATATTTTTTTTAATTGAAAGGTAATATTTTTAAAGAAATAAAATTTATTATTAATTTTTGTGAAGCAAAAATATTTTTTAAAACCAAAAAACAAAGACATACCTATAATTATTTTTAAATATTTTATATTCAAAACGGTCAACAACGAAAAATTCAATTAGAAAATTGGATCATAAAATTATTATAATTAACCCGGAATTTTTTTCCAATAAAAATAATAAATAAAATAATCATAAAATAATTATAAAATAAAATACCTTGGGCTATTAAAATAGTAATACATGCTAATAAATTTATAAACCCTCCTAATAATAATTACATATAATCCTTTTTAAATTTTTGCAATCAGTACAATTCTGTTGTTTTACACCAATATTTTTTTTTTTTTTTTTTTTTTTTTTGTTTTAAAAAAAAAATATTAACCCTCGAGTGGTGAGGGAATGAATGCATCCTTATTTTCGGGTCGGGATGTATGGGAAAGGAGCCTCCATACCCTTCATGGGCCCCGAAGTAAAAAATACCTTTGGACGATATTCTGGTCTTTCCCTCATTACGCTACCAAGGTAGAATAATAAATGAAAATCAATTTACGTTAACAAAAAACAATAACATAATTAGGGAAAAGTAGTTAATCACCTTGAGGTCTTGAATTTCTCGACAAGTGCAGGATACCCTTGTATATCTGCGTATGACAACTCGCAGATTTTGTCCGAATTAAAACAGGCCCATTTTCGACCTACACGCGATTCTGAGAACAATATCACCGCGCTAATAGAAAATAATTTATAACAATCAGATTTATATTTGCCAATTTAAATTCACACTTATACAAAATAATTGCATTTACTTGATATCTACGAAATTTATAAAAGCGTAACCGACGTTACATTTATTTGCGAAGTCGATACGCAAATACAAAAAGTCGTATTTGCCTTTGTGCGTTTCGTCAAGTTCCGCGCGCAACATTTCTTGCGTGTATTTATTTGGAATATTTCGGACCATGAATGTGGTCCGAGCGTCAAGCCCTATTGTAATGAAAGGATTAAACGACTTTGATTATTATGAAAATTATAGAAACAATGATATCAATAGAATGTCATTAAAAAATACCTTGCTTGATTTTTTCGAGATTCAACTGATTCTTCAAAGGAATCATTCTATTCCCAGACGAATGTACTGTACTAGTTACTGGCGGTGCTGGGTAATTTTTCGAGCCATGTTTTGGAGCTTTTTTTCGGCTGGAGATTTCGTGAGTTATTACGTCCCATGAATGTGCGCTGGGATCATGGAATTCGATGGACAAAGTCGTATCCTATTATTATTAATGCAAATGAAATTTAAAATGAATTGATAATAATACAAATGAATATGTTGAAAACCAACTTGTATTTTTTGTCCATTCAAAGAAATTTTGGCTGAATTCGCGTTTCTTGAGTCATAATACTCGAGAATTATTACTCGCAAGTCCTCGTATGTTTGAGATTTAAATTCTTTAATAGTTCCGTACTTGCTGAATTGGGCCTTTACTGCAGGTTCATTTGCACGTGCAGTATGGTAAATGATCAGACTACCTTCATTTTGTCGTTCTAGCAAGCCGATTGGTGGATATAAATGCGCCAACTGTCAATATTTAAAGATCCAATTGTAAATTAAGGTGAACACGTGAAAAAAAAAAGAAATGTCAAGCATTGTATATACTCTATTAACGTTTGTTGGCTTTTGACTAAACTTGACGTCTAATCTTCCTCCGTTATGAGGAGCCTCTTTATGTCTTAATAAATTTTGTGCCTTTATCGCATCTCTAATATCGTAATAAAAGACGTATGCAATTCCATTAGAACCGCAGTATATTTCGCGAACGTCTCCATATGCCTAGAAACATTATTAGGATCGGATATATTAATAATGCATATTTTGAAATGTGATTACAATCTGACAACAATTACCTCAAACAAGTGTCTCAAATCAGGATAATATTCGGATTCAAATGGGAAGTTTGAGACACATAGCCAACGTGAAGGTTCAGTAACCCAATGTAAACCAGTCCAGATGAACGGTTTAAGTAAACCAACCGCAGTAGAAGGAGTAGCTATTTCAGGTGTTTCAGGTGAGAACATGAACAATCCATTGCTACGTTTAATGTTCTCGATTGTTTCATTGACTGTCGCTAATTGTGCAAATGACATGTCAACTTTAAGTGACGAAGCATTATTAATTTCTCCCTGCTCGCGAATATTTGATTCTACTATGGCTTTTCTGACTTTCTCCATAGCCTTTTCATTCCCTTTGTAAACGATAAACTCATCCGTAATATCTTCACGGCCAAACTTCTTAAAAGGGCATTTGATTAAAGACTTTTCAAGGCGGCAAACCGGCGCACCCACAACGAATGACACAGAGTGTTTTGTGTTTAATATTATATCACTATCATTCGCAGTTTTCACGGAAATGAAATTGGAACTGGTATCATTAATGCAAACCTGCTTTTTGGATTTATTCAACATTTGAATATTAGAGTTTTCGCTTGAGTTATTGATGTCATCGACGGTATCAATTGAAGCCGTTCGTAACTCCTTGCCGATCATCGCTTGTTTATTTCTGGTAGGTATGTCTTTAACGAAGCCATTTGTTCTGCTTTCATTCTTTTTCAACTCGGATTCTCTGAATTCGCCTTGATAACTGGCGTCTTTATAGTTGGTATTGATAGGACTTGATACTTTAATACCACATTTTCGATTCGAAAAGTTGCCGTTAAAGTCAACTCTACGAGTACATCCTAAAGATTCAGGATTTTTATCTTTGATAATAATAGGTACGTTGTCGGTAATTTTTGATATCTTCTCTTCATTAGGATTTAAGAATCGAGTTGCCGGAATATCAACTATTGTAACGTTTTGTCCTAACGAAGATCCGGATTTTGACGAGGCTACAGTAGTATAGTTTGGCACATTTCCTAATATTTTACTTTTAGGTACCCATTCTTTAGCATAAGGATTAAATTCCTTCTTCCCATTTCCTTTCAGTTTAGTAGATTCTACCAAGAAATAGCGACCGGTAGCATTCTTTACCATTCCGAATGATTCCTTGAAAGTTCCAGCGTCGCCGTTAATTTGTATGGGAAGAAAAGCGGTGCTGTCAACGACATCACTAACTTCATATGGTTTGTTTGGAAAACGAACGTCATAACGAATTATGCCGTTGTAAAAGTCATCTTTATCATCGCTAGGAGGAAAACGAATGTTTTGACGAGTTGTGATATTGTTGACGTTGTTACCCTTTGTATTGACCATTGGAATGTAGGAATTGTCAAAAATTCCATTGATGTGAGCGGTAATAGAGTAACCATGAAAAGTTCTTGAGCCGAAAGTTTTGTATTCTTCCATCATTTAAGGTAGCTATATTATGTTGAAGAAAAGATGTACAAACACATTAATGTAAAATAGAAGAGAAAAGGTGACTACAGTAATGCAAAGTACAATATTTCAAATGGTATCATGCAAATCATTTGTTTTACACAGAAATCAAAGTAAATAATTACTTTTTAGGAGAGTAAGTAATATTTCTGACACTTTAGTGGTGTAATATTAACTTTCTTTTCGCGAAGGAAGTTTAGAAATTCCTTCAAAGCCTTTATTTGTGAAATGAACGAAGATATTAAATAAATTGCATAAGAATAAAAAGGGTTGTTGTCACTATAAGCAACGATGGTATTACCAAGTAGATAAAGTAAGAGTAGAAAGATTTTGATTTTTACGAAAGTAAAAAAAAAAACGGCTTGGAACTTTCCCTTTTTTTTTAGTGAAGATGTAAAGGTCGTTATTTTATATCGACGGTAGAAAATGCATATACTTGTATAACGAGTAAAAGCTTAATTTGGTAAGCTTGTCAATGTGATAAACAATTTGACTATAATTTTTTTTTATACTTTTATATTGTTTAACAATAAATCAAATTCCAATATCCAATAATCAATATACTCAAAATAATAAAAGTATATTTAAATCCTTGAAATATTTAAAAATATTTCGTAATTTTTTAAAGTATAATATAATAAGAGATGCTGGATGGTTATTAATCAAAAGTTTATCGAATTCGATTTTCTCAGTTCGAAATTTCCAATAAATTCTTATGTAATAATTTGGACTGACTCCTAATGATAGTATGACAAGTTACGTAAAAATAAAAACGCCAATATTGCATAAGTTCCCACGATTTTTTTTTTTTTAGAAAATTTTATTTTATTTTATTTTTTTTCCTTTTGTCCTTTACTGCGGGATAGATAGATATATATATATATTATAATTTACGTAATCAATAAAATTTTGTTTTTCGGAAGATTAAAAATCTTAAGTGGCCTATGCGTTACGTAAATCAAGTTTTAGAATATTATGTAAGATCACCTGTCAAATACATAGAAAGATTTTAAAGATTTTTTTACAGCAATATTTATTTTGACAGGATAGGTTTAAACTGAATTTGGAAGCAACAAAAGCGCACAAAACGCAGGACGATACTTTCCTTTCTAAATCAGTAGATTGATCTTTGGGAGGACAAGCAATCTAGAATAAACTGGACAGAAGATCAACGGTGATCCTTTTCAAATTTAGTAAAATTAATCCAATCAAAAAGGTTTCGCAGTATCTTATTTACAAGTTCATGATTTGATTATTTAATGTCTTTTAAACTAGTGAAGGTTATCGTTCTATACCAACTATGTCATTACCGCGTGACATTTAGCCCGCATTACTACAATAAGTGTGGCGTCATGAAATTAAGTGTGACTCTCCTGTGATGAATATGATTTCACATACCGTAAAAAACCAAAGTTCCCAGAATACTTACAAAAAATGAAAGAAGGAAGAGAGTTACGCGGCGTGACAAATACTTTACTATGATCACGTGGTATTGACATTTTTATGGCGATTTCTATAACCACAGATATCACGTGATAACATTATCCAAGTTGTTTTGAATCGTTTCTGCGCAATATGTAAAAAGAATATATGATCTATACTGGTAATTTTGTCTAATATATCTTTTCATCAATTATGTTAAAATTATTATGATTTTTTTTTATAGTTCATTTCTTGGTGATTAGATTTTATTCAAAATTAAACAGCGGCTACCTGATGTTATTGAAATACATACTTTATGATAGAATCACCCCGAATCATACAATAATGATCATTGTTGAATGTGGCTTGAGTCAAATGAAAGTTAGTTCATATTGCAAGTGTTAATAATTACGATGTGAATGTTTGAATAAATGGTATGCAAATAAATAAATCTATCTCTTTTTTAAAGTTTGAATCGATTATTATTTAATAACTTTTTCCTATATTAGAAGGTGCGGAAATCTAGAGAGTTAAAATGAGGATGATGGGATTTTTATTTAGTTCCAATCAAGATAAGAACTTTCGTTTAATAGAAATCAAGGAATTTACAATAACAATAGGTATTGTTAGAATAATTGATTCTTGTTATAAATTTATTGAAAATTATACTTACATTATATAGGTTCTCTTAAGTTAAAGGATCTGCCTCAAGTTCCTAGTGTCCTTCCTTAAATATGAACTTGTTAAGATCTGATGTTTTTTAAAGGAATATTTACCTACGTTTAACCCACAAATCAATATTACGTAAAGTCTTAACGACAACCAATTTGCGTTATTCAATTATTTCTTGATAATGTAATATACAAGTTTGCAGATAATAAAAACACTTTCTATAAATTGAACATGCTAATATAAAAAATAGTTAATCGCTCGATGTATGTAAATTAATACATATTCCAATTTAAGTTTTCGATACACTGATAGTATCGAAATTTTCAAAACGTATTCTGGGAGGACATTGATTGAATCAGTCCAATTTATTTATTTATTTATTTTATTCAATGTAAGAATGAAAATTGTTAGTTACATTAAAATGAAAATTTTATTGAAATATAGAGAGCATTTAACGAGACAGATAAAACTCTTTTTTAAATAATATGTTAAAATACACTTAATGGCATCCAACCAGAGATTCACTTTTACCATCGATGCAAAAAATAAAGTTCAATGTGTTCCACTTTGAACTAATGTTCGCTGTTACTAAGACTTTGCTGCTGATTTAAAACCCATTTTGAAATGGATATGGTGGCTTGATTTGTGTGTAGATAACTAATCTTGCATATTGATTATCTATAAAAAAAAAATAAATAAATTTCCAAAATAAATGCAACCTAACTAATTAAAATTTTTTGTCAAGGTTTTGAGGTAATGTTTATAAATTAATGCTACACTAAAAAGGAAATGGATTTCCTTTGAAGATAGTTCACCCGATCGAGTTGATGAAAAAAGAATACGCCCTATCATATTATAGTGCGTAAACAATGTATTGTAGATGTTTCCATAGTTGCTGAGAATTCTATCTGAACTCGGAAAAAAGAATAATTTGATTTAAAAAAAAAAATAAAATAAAATAAAAAATTTTATCGGTACGAGTCATTTCCGAAATCCTGATAAAATCGAAATATAAAGCATTAAATTATAATCTCATTTAATTAATTGATACATAAGCAAACAAAATAGTTTAACGTATATTTTATCTGTAATTTTATAATTTTATTAATTAATATTAGTATTAAATTTATCCTAGATTTGAAGTTTAAATCATATAATAAAAGCATTTTGTATTATTTTCTTTTAATAAATTTTTTATAGAAAAAAAATAAATGTTAAATTATAATTTTAAAAAAAATCGATAGATTTATATTTTATGTTGTGATTTATAATCATATTAAAAAAAAAAAAATTCTATATTTTTAAAAAATAAATTTTAATGTATTTTTTTTTTTTTTTTTTTTTTTTTTTTTTTTTTTTACAAATTTTAAATATAATTATTTACTTTAATAATCAATTAGAAACATATTTAAAATATTAATAACTTTTATTTTATCTTATTTATATATTATAAAAATATACAGTTTTAATTCTATTAGTATTACAATAACAAAATATATAAATACATTGATATTATTTTAAATTAGATAAATTATTATCTATTATTATTATTTTTAATTAATCTAATATTGTATTTTATAAAAAGATTGATTAACAAGAATATATATTTTTAAAAATAATATACTTTAATTAAAATTATATATAACTTTTAATATTATGATTAAGTATCATTTTTAAACAAATAATTTTTTTTAATGATCCTATTGAAATTCTATTAAAATTATAAATATACTTATTGAAAATGTTATAGAAATTTGAATTTTAAATTTAAATTTTTGATCACTATATTAATTATTTGATAAGATATTATTTTTACTTTATAATATTAGGATTTGAATTAATTAAAATAAAAATAACTTTTTTATTATTTAATATATTATCTTAATTTTATTTATAAAATAAATTAATTGAAAATATATATTATTTTAACATTTTGTGATTATAAAAAAATGAAATAAAGTTATCATATTAATATATATCTAAAACCTAGTAATTATCAATATTCTTTATATCAAATTTTTAAATTTTAAATTTTTAAAAATAACTTATTTTAATAATTAATTACAAAAAAAAATAAATTTAATTTTTTGATTAATTTCATTAAAACTTATTAAATAGATTTTTATATTTTTAAATTAATAGATAGTAAAATAAAGAAATTTAACATTTTAAACAATTTATTATATATTTATTTTTTTATTAATTTTACTTAAAATCATTTAAAATTTATTATAACAGTATTAATTTTTTTTATACTTTACTAGAACTAAAAATTTAAGTTATAAAATATTAGTAGCTCAAAATTGAATTACTTACTTATCTTGAGATTTTTATTAAGTCTTAATTAATTTATAGAATTAGAAATAACTAATTACGAAAATATAATTTAATTATTATTTAAAATTAAAGATTTTTTAATCATATATTATAATATTACAGAAAGTTTATTTGAGCTATAAGAATCATCATTTTTAATATATATATAATATTTATATTTTAGTATTAAGTTTAATTTTACTGAATTTAATAAGATTTTTAAAAGATAAGTAACTATTATATCATTATTATTAAATATATTTAAAAATTTAATTTGATCTTTAATCTCTAATAAAAGTACTATCAGATATTATTTAATATTATATTTATATAAGAGTTTACCCTCCTTACAAGTAAGATATGTTGCAGAATTATATTATTTAATTTTTATATATCTAATAATCAATGTAAAAAAATTGATATAATTTATTATAGTTTATAAAGTGATAAAAAATAAAATTAATTTAATTTAAAATTTAATACTTAAATTTGAAAGAAATTCATTTATTAACATTACCTCAAAACCTTGACAAAAAATTTTAATTAGTTAGGTTGCATTT